CATTTCCTTGGTTGTGATCGTGGCTAAATATGCCTCACATCCTTTCCCGAGCATCCTTTCAGCCTGGATTGCCGAGATTACCAAGCTTCCCGAGGTTGTTCTTATTCCTTGGAATTTTAACATACCCTCGTCCCTCTTGAATTGTAACCGTCCTCGGTGACAATCTATGTGAGCCTTGTACTTTCCCAACCAGTCCATCCCTAAGATAACATCATGTTTCTTTAGTGGAATAATGATTAGGTCTGCGAGCATATTGACACCGTTCACTACAACCGAGATGCCCCAAACAAGTCCGGTCGGATACATTGCATGTCCGCCGGCCCCTCGTACCTTTCCATAATCGGTGTTTGGTTCTTTCCTGAACCCACCTGTTTCAACCAATTCCGGACTAACAAAACAATGTGTAGCCCCAGAATCAAATAGAGTGCGCGTTACTACGTCACCTACTCTCAAGGTCCCTACACATTCCCTTAGAATGCTGAGTAGTTCCCCTTTCCCATATGCATGATGCAATGCAAATGCAGTTATTGAAATAATGAATAGGGAGTTGTGAGAACGTACCAGTGATCGCCCTAAAGTTTTCGGCATCGTTAGCTTCCTCGGACAACTCATAAACTCGCGGTGCCACGGCTTGCCGCTTTGGGGGAGGCGGCAGTCCGTTTCCCCCGCGATTGTCCCTTTGTCCGGCCTGCTTCTCCGTAGTCAACTTAGGGCTCTCTCGCTTTAGATGTCCAGTCTTTCCGCAATAGAAACAAGTCCTTGTCTCTTCACCGAGAACCTTGGACTGTCCTGGTTCCATTCTCGGGCAACTTTGGATCGCATGGTCCTTGCTTCCACACCGGCCACATGCACCTATGGCCTTCCAGCAAGTTCCGCTGTGGCTCTTACCACAGGTCATGCATTCCCCGGTCTAAGCATCGGACTTGGTGTTATCCACCTTGTCAAATTTCCTTTTCTTATCCGCGGGTTTGGTGGATTGATTGTTCCGGATCGGTGCTTTCTCCCGGTTCAAGTACCTCTCCTCCTCGATCCCTTCCTCAATCATTGCTGCCCTTTCAACCAATTCGGAAACCGAGTTGAATGTCCGGACCAAACAATGGTTGCGGATCTCTATCCTTAGTCCACGGATAAATCGGCGCACTTGAACTTGTTCCTCCTCAAGTTCACGTCCCACATAACGCCTTAGGCGGTTAAATTCCTCATCATATTCACGCACCGTGCGATTCCCTTGAACTAGGTCGAGGTACGCACATTCAAGCCTATCCCAAGCCTACGGTGGAAAGTACTTCTTGTTAAACTCGTCTTCAAAATCCGCAAAGGATCGGACCTCGTCCCCTCTGCGTTTCTCGACGGTTAACCACCAGTTATGGGCGTCTCCTTCAAGGAAGTGGACCGCAATGTCCCTTTGGTAATCCTCAGGGCAGCGGGTAGACATGAAGTTCCTCTTGAGTCTACTCCTCCACTCATCGACCACAATAGGGTCCGTACTGCCCATGAAGTGTCTCGTGTCCAGCCTTGAGACATGTTCGAGAAGACTCAGATAGTCTCCCCTTTTCCGCCCATGATTCGGTTGCGGATTCACTTCCACAACTTCCGAGTCATCGTCCTTTTGGTTATCCACTCTTTGGACCACCGGATCTGCTACAACGGCCTTGGTTAATGTGGCTAGTTACGTCATCATTCCTTTCATCAAATCCCACTGTTCTTGGGCCGTTGGAGTATTGTTCCGGTTATCCGTGCTGTCCCTTGCACCGCTACTCTCCGGTGCTTCCTCATTTATGGGTTTCTTCCCGGCCTCAGGTCCGGCCGAGTCTGTCCCATCGAGCATCGTCCCGACTCTGGTTTTCTCGTTGATCATCGTTTCTTTCTCAACCAAAGTCTCCTCGACAATGCCCTTGTCCTTCTTACTCTTTCCCGTTTTGCTGCTCTTACCCATTTGTGAAACCTCCAAAGTTAATCCACATAACTCCTAGTAAAATCGTAAAAGAGTAAAGAACAACTACCGCGAGATTCTCAAGCCGACGAGTGGTGATACCCCTGAACCCAACACCTAGTCCTAGAACCAAGCATGCTCTGATACCAACTTTAAAGGCCCCAATCCGGACTACCTAAAGTCCGGACGAGTTCTCTCGGCCCTAACCGTTTATGAGGTTCTTTCCTTGTCTAATCCGTTCCATATGATTCCGTGATTCAATATATGAGACGAATAGAGTAAACAAACAATCGGATACTTTATTGATTAAGCAAAGGATTCGATACAACCTATGAGTTTGCACATAAGCTATTACAAGTCATATAATCGATCCCTAGATTATCCGAATTATCACCACCCATCATCCCGGCCTTGAGTCTCTCGCGCCTAAGCCAAGTCCTTCCCACGATCACCATTCGTTCCTGAAAGTCATAGAGCCATAAGTAATCTCATTTACTTAGTCTTATGCAAGTCCATGCAAAGCGCTATATGTCATTTACTACTCGGATCCGTGGAGAGGATTCAGAGAGGGGAAGATCGCGCATCAGTCCGGCCGATTCTCGGCAGGTCAGTTAAGACCCACCGGTCCTCCGCCGAGCTGCGTCCCCGCCTCAGCCGATCCATACCCGGACCGAGTCTTGTGTAGGATGCACATGACCCGGATACTACCCAGCCCTCTAGTCGATCCTTTAACTCACATCCTAGAACACTTAGACTCAAAGTCTAGGATCCCTTACCTTCCTTCTCGAGGTTAGGTCGATCCGACCCTCCTTCTTTATTGTCGGCCACAGCCCGGCTACCGAATCCTAAGACTATTTATTCTCCCAAGAGGGAGAGAGTTTTAATGGTGAGTTTCTTGTGTTTTCGGTGTGTTGTGGTGAGTGGAATGGTCCTGGGCGCCCTTCCTTATATAGGGGGCGAATGGATGCTTCCTGAATCAACACATCCGTTCCTTGCACCTTTCCGAAGAGTTGCACCTTTCCGAAGAGTTGCGCCCTTCCGAAGAGTTGCACCTTTCCGAAGAGTTGTATCTCTTCGCCCATAAGCGCCCAGCTAGTCCGTCACTTGTTCAGCTACCTCGAGCTCAACCGTCACTCGTCCAGCTACCTCGAGCTCAACCGTCACACGTCCAGCTGCCCGAGCTGGACTGTCACTCGACCTGAGTAACCGTCACTCCTTCCAGCTGAGCTTGAGCTTTGGGCGAGCTGACCCAGCTGATTTCTTTACGATCCTAGCTTAGCCTGCATGATTTCTCCTTTGTCCGAGCTTATGGTCAGCTCCTTCTCACTTGTCCGAGACTCCACCTTCTTCTCTCGGACCAAGTCCTAGCCAACGATCCTATTGAGGATCGTGGGCGTTACACAAACAGTATGTACCGGCTCGGGGCACGCTTGACACTTATCCATTGAGCTCAGTTGATTGTCCCCCAAGGCGATATAGATATTTTTCGTAGCGTTCTCGCGGTCAGCTCGGGTTGTGCTCATAGCATTACCACCCGAGCCATTCTATGAACTCTCCGATATGGTTGACCGAATAAGGTCCCGAGATGCTTTGTTCTAGCCTCGGGGCCTATGATATATTTAACCATAAGGTGATTGTTATTCTTATGAATGTTTGGCTCGGTCTTGCTTGTGGGGGAATTCGACCCCAACAGTTAGTCCCCCAGCTCGTTGGTTTAAGAGTTAATGCGACGAGCTTCATGAATGGTGTGACCGAACCAGCTGCTTTCACATCTAAACTGACTGATCCATGTCTTTTTAGAGTAAGGCTTATTTGCTTGTTCCTGAACAATGTTCCTGAACATTGTCTTTGTTTTGGATTTTATTCTGATTTTGTTTTTTTTTTTTTGATTTTTTTTTAATGTAAAGACATGCGTGGATGGCTTTATCCACATTCTGAATGAATATTTTGGAATATTTCGATAAGAAACTTTGTCTTTCATACTCGAGGAGGTTGACAGGGGTACAAATTACATGTGTCAAAGTTGGGTTTAGTATATTTTGTTACCCAGGTGATTGACTCGGTACCAGGTTATTTGGGATAACTGGATTTCTAAGCACTAAGACCAAAGCAGATAAAAAACTGTATTTTCCTGACACTAGTGTTTATGACAACAAGGTTTTAGTAGACTAAGTCGGAAGGACTTAAACGGCCGAGGCAAAAGCTTGGCACCAGTAGTTATGGTAACTGGGTTTTAGTTTCCGAGTTGATCGGCTCGGTACCAGTTAGGACTGAGTTTTTGTAGGAGTGAATATATTGGAGCGTTTTCCGGTGAAGCTTTGTCTTTCATGCCCGAGGTGGTTAGCTTGGTACCAGTGTGTTTAGAGTAACTGGATTTTAGTAGACTTGAATACCCACGGTTGCGACCCGATCTGATTAAGTCATTTACGAGCGTTTAGAAACTTATCTGGGGCACCGGTGTTAAGTATAACCGGGTTTCAGAAGATAGAATTCATAGCCTGCTCGGGAAAAACATCCAAGCAGATTCTTATCTTGAATATTTATATAGCGTGCTGTAACCGAAGCGGTGTAAATGAAACTTTGAAAATGATGGAGCCGTCGCCCATTAAAACATTTCAAAGTAAAAAAATTAGAAATCGAATTCTAAGAAAAATTGAAGTAGTATGAAGTTCGAATTTAAACTAAAGCGAATGGTTAAAATTGAAGTGGGAGTATGGATATACAGATCCTACTCCCCCCCCCCCTTTTTTTTGTGGGGAGGGTAGCTGAACTCGTCTAGAGACAAGCTCTCTACGTACCCTTTTCAGGGATCAAGCCAACCCGTAGTTCAAGTCACGATGAAGAGGCCGAAGCTCTTTTTTTTACTCGATAGACGAGTTATTTTTTTTGCTCGGTAGACGAGTCTTTTTGCTCGGTAGACGAGTCTTTTGCTCGGTAGACGAGTGTTTTTGCAAGTTTATGCAAAACATATAACAGAGAATGCATATATATGATTGAGCTGTGCTTGTTAAATTATAATCGATAACACTTATCTTAGCGTTTTGGAGATAGAGATGATGACATCTATGACACGAACGATCTGAATCTCTAAGATTATAAACGTCGTTGTATGGAAATCTACATTTGAGATGTTGTTAGTTAGAGGAGGTCTCTTCTTTGCGTTAGAAAGAGAGAAGCAAGCACGAAAGCGAGAATGTCAATCAAGCTTAATTAATATGTAAGAAAGTAATTAAACTTATCTTTTATGAGGAAGGTCATCGAAACGGAGACTGAATTCGAGATCGCAGCATTGATGAATGATTTGAAGCCTTGAGCGATTGCTAGTGATGTTCCAATGTCACTTGTTAGTGTAATGTACTGCCTTTTGCAGATTTATAGAAGAACTGATAACTTCCGTTTGAACTGTTAAGTTATTGATCCCACTGTTGAGTCTTTAGGTGGTAGTCCCACGAAGGTTTCGTCCAAATTTTAGTCAGATCGGATAATGCATAAAGCTTATACGGTTGTATGAAGTTGCTGTGACAAATTGATTTTTTCTTCTTTTGGCTGATTCAGAGATGCATTGATAACTTTATTCAGCACAATTGATTTCTCGATCCCACTGGTGAATCATTTTCTAGTAGCGTCAACAATCATTATGTAAATTTCTAGCTAGATGAGACGTCGTATGTATCTTCCATGATCCTCTGAAGTTGCTGCGGCAGAGTCATTGTTTCCTGATTTCTGCAGTTTGGATGATTTTGGGCAAACTTTGAAGGAGATTTGCGGATAGAGATTAACACCAATCGATAATCCGTTTAAAGAATAGGATTCCCTGTAATTATATCTTCGCAAAGAGTACTTACTCGAACCTTAACTCTTTCTGGTGCGTCCGAAAAATGTCTCGCAAAAGCTCTAGCTATACACCAAATCCTGTTTCAGACTTGGCATGGATCGAGGACTTTTTCAGTTGTTTCCTGGACAGGAAGCAAGATGAATAACTTCTTGATCTTAAGTGCATTTGACGACCCGTCAGGTGCGGTGAAATCTTTGGTTGATAGTGTTGAACTTTGAGTTGGTGATCTCAAGTGAGAATAACAATGACGCGATCGAAGAATGGTAGCAGAGATGATGTAGCAGGTTCCCCAACCTAGAAGGAGTTCAACAATAGAGACGAGATTGGTCTCTATAGAAAGATAAGCCTTGGGGCTTCATGATGATGTGAAGGTTGATTCTTATATTCTACCAGATTGACGAGAAATCGATCTAAAAAGCAGCTGATCTGATAACAGCGGAACTCCGCTCTATGGTTTCGGCCAGGATGCGCTCGTCGCGGAAAAACTGTGAGAATTCTTACAAGACTGCAACAAAAGAGGCAAAGTTGGATTCTTTAGAAAGATAATGATGCGCAGATCGGGTCCTGGTTCCTTTTAGGTCGCCGGGAAATCGATCTGAAAGCTGGCAGATTGGATGTTGACGGATATGTGGTCTGATAACTACGCATGCTTGAGAGAAACGCCTATAACTCCCGGAAGACAGCATAGAATGAAGCAAAGTAGATCTTGTTGGCAAGATAAGCCTCAGAGATTAAGAACAACATGTAGATGAACTCTTCATGTGTTTTGAATCGCTGGGAATCTACCTTCTACCCCAGTTGTTCGCGCAGTTCGAGTCTGCGATATTGACAGATGTCATATGTTGTGTGGAAACAATGATAACGCTTAGTACCCAGCTTCGATATTTGTGCGGTTGATTGTGTTGGAAGGATAAGCCTCGTATCTTCAGATTGATAGGTAAAATGCCTTGTTATGCTTTCTAGATCGCCTGGAATTTTGTTTTGAAGTTGGTTGTTCTGACAGCGGCGGGTTTGACAAAAAGATTGCATCCGGTGAAGAGAAGCGATGATAACTCCTAGCTCTGGGCGTTCGGGTCGGGTTTGGGTCAGGTATTTTGGGTTCGGGTTTTTCGGGTTTAGAAATTTAAGACCCATTCTATATATAAATAAACCCAAACTCGAACCCGAACCTGAACCGAATCCGACCCAAAACCGAACACGAGTTGTTTTGCTTGAATATATTTAAAAATATACAAAAATAACTAAAATATCCAAACAAATCCTATATTTTTTATATACCACACCAATTCGTTATGTATAGATGATGAGAAGATTCCATTGATACAGAGCCAATTCCAATAACTAAAATATCCAAACAAATCCTATATTTTTTATATATAAGTATAAATATAATTAATATATACATTACTTATATTTGAGATATGTTTGGGTACCTATTCGGGTTCAGGTTCGGGTTTTTCGGGTTTTAAAGTTTAGACCCGTTCAGGTATTTTAAAAATTCGGGTTCGGGTTCGGATCGGGTTTTTCGGATCGGGTTCGGATCAGTTCTTTTGGTTCGGGTATTATGCCCAGGCCTAATAACTCCCAGTAGACCGCTCGGATCGAGGCGAGGTCGGCTTCTTTGGAAAGCTGAATCTCGGGGAAATCTGTAGATAGGTATATCGTAGCTTATTTCATCAGGAGTTTCAAGGAAAACGATCCCGAAGCTGACTGGTTTTATAGAGTTGGATCTTGTGACAAACTGCACTTGCCTGAGATAAACGTTTATATATCTCATCATATATCTTAGATTAAGGCGAGGTCGAATTTTCCGAAAAGATGACTCTGTGGGCGATCCGTTGATTTATTACTCCTCATGAGATTCTCTGTGATTTGTTGGGAAATCGGCCCCTAGGCGAGCTGGACTATTCCGACGGATTATAGTTTAACTCTAAGCAGATGTATCTGATTGAGAGGTGGTTAGATTCATTCGAAAGCTGATCACCAGGGCAATCCGTGAATAGGTTATACGTCACCTGGTTCATTGTACCTTGACGGGAAATCGGTTCCGAGGCAGACTGGTCTATTCAGACGGATATGTGAAGAAACAGACGAGAAAATGGTTGGAAACTCCCTTTTTGTCAAGAGAAAACCTCATATCTTCCCTGAAAAAACAGAAGCAATTTTTGATTTAATTTAAATTTGTAAAGTGATGATTTTACCAAGATACTCTAATCGAAATCAAACATTTACACACTGAACCTGGATCTATTCGAACCCAGACCCGACCCATATCTCCAAACGAATTTTTCTTCGGTTTCTTTTTCTTTTCAACTTCAACTCCTCAACGACGCTCCACTCTCCTTATTCGAAACTTCTTCTTTTCGATTTCTCAACCTCCTTGACGCCTCTCCTCTTCGTTCTCTTCTCGACAACAAAGAACGAGAACCCTAATCTCTCATTTCTGAATCCTAATCTTCTCCTTCTATAACCCTAACTTCCCAGCCATTTTCTCCAACCCTAACCCTAATGGCGCCGAGAACAATTCCTCCTCTAAAGAAGAGGAAGAGAGGATTAGCCGGAGGAACAAAGCCAATAGATGTTGTCATGAAGGCAACGACGGAGCCTCCGACAACGACAGAGGAGCCATCAGCGACGGAGCAAAATCCGGTCGCAATTGAGGGAGGAGGAGTTGAAGAAGAACCAATTCCGACCATAATCCCGACCGTAGTGGAAGAAGGAGAGCAGTCTGACAACAATGAGGAAGAAAATTCTGAGAAGGATGAGAACGAATAGAGTGAAGAAGAAGAGAGTGAAGAAGAAGAGAAAGAAGAAGAAGAGAAAGAAGAAGAAGAAAAAGAAGAAGAGGAGAAAGAAGAAGAGGGGAATGTTACCGGAGGAGAGTCCTCCAATGATAGTAGTAAAACCTTGGGCGAAGAGTACTCCTCCGATAAGAATATGAATGATGAGACTGCAGTGGAAAATCAAGTGGAAATTCCGGCGTCAATGGTAAGTATTTCTCAAGTATTTGAATGGTATGAAACTAGTATAACAGGATAATACTATGATTTCTGGAGAATATTGTCATTACTAGGATATAACTATGTGTATGAATTTTGGGTAACATTGGTAGTACTAAGATAGAACTATGTGTATGATTTCTGGATAATACTGTCATTACTAGGATATACCTATGCGTTTCTGGGTAATACTGTCATTACTAGAAAACAACTACGTGTATGATTTCTCGGTAATACTGTCAGTACTAGGATAGTACTATGTGTATGATTCTAGGTAACATCGGTAGTAATATGAATGAATGTCTGTTGCAGGAGATCGACGAAGAAACAAAAGCAATACTACCGCTGAGTATGTATTTCCCGCCTTCGGAATATGTGAAGAAAATCAAGCTTTCAATTCGGTGCTATATTCACGAAGTGTTGACTACATTCGATAAGTTGGAGCCGGAGATAACCAAGTCCGAGAGGGAATGGTTTGAGAACCATCCGAGTTTCCAACACATCTTCCACATGCCAAGAGACCCAAACCACCGACTTATTGGGATGTGGATGCTCCTTCTTCGCACGGCGCGCATTGAAAGGAAGAAAGAAGCGTGGTTCATCGTCAATGCCGTTCCAATCCGATATGTTATATTGGAACACGCATTGATATCGGGCTTCAATTGCAAGAACTATACACTTGGGTATAAAAATACGGGAAATTTGGATTTCAAGAAGAAGCATTTCAAGAATATTGTTGTGAAACGCGAAGACGTGAGAAAGAAACTCATAGGAATGGTACCGGCGGGTGAAAGATCAAAAGAAAGGTTGAGGATGATGGTCTTGTATTTCTTAAGCAGCATTATCATAGCACCTATCAAGATCGGGGATAAGGCACCTCAAGTGGATGAATTTTGCCTCAAGGCTGTGAGTGATCTCACGTTTTGTAGAAATTTTCAATGGGGGAGGTATTTTTTCGATTACATGTTAGGAACCATCTCACACACGGTGAATCATTTTAATGGTTCAGTCACCAACAACGAGAAGTACGTATGGTCGGTTCCGGGTTTCTGTCTTCCGATGGAGGTTAGTTAAAACTTATATTAATAGGTGATTATTTGCAATACTGATAATACTGTAGAATACTATTTGTTATTAGATATTGTTTTCTTATTCTGTAGCTTCTTGCATTCGAGGCAATCCCACAGTTGAGGGAAAAATTTATGGAGGACATTGCAGGAGCAGATGAGGGATGTCCTAGGATGTGCAAGGTGAGGTTCAAGAAGAACCATTTGAAAGGCTTTCCTCTTGATACCATTTATGCAGAATTGGGTATAACTCAGGTTAGTTGTCCTAGATTTACTG